TCCGGACCGCCGCGTCCGCCGGACGCCGGGCGCCAGGTTCCGAACCGGCCCTTTGCAGGGGCCCGTTCGCTTGCAAGTCCTAGGCCTGGCTAAAATTTTTAATCGCTAGTTAACTAGCAGCACGCTCGCCCATTAGCGACACATCATGAAGTTCTCCCAGGCCGTCTCTAGCAGCCGACGCAAGTCGCGCAAGTCCCACTTCACGGCAGACTCGTCTTCGCGGTAAGACCTGAAATGTTTCCGACTCCCATCCCGAACTTCATAATCACCAGGCGCAAGATCATGTCAGCCTCTTTATCAAAGGAGCTGCAAGCGAAGTACAACGTCAGATCTATCCCCGTTCGTAAGGATGATGAGGTCATGGTCGTTCGCGGTATATACAAGAATCGCGAGGGCAAAGTTACGGCCTGTTACCGTCGGAAGTTCGTAATCCATGTTGAACGAATCACGCGGGACAAGGCAAATGGTGCCCAGGTGAATGTTGGCATTCAGCCTTCTAATTGCATCATCACGAAACTTAAGCTGGACAAAGATCGTAAGACGATTCTTGGACGCAAAGACCGATCGAAGGGCGGAGCTGTCGAGGGTGCGAATCTCGCCGGTGTTGACTAGTGTTCTTCAGAGCGCATGTTCAAGGCCGAACGCACGATGAACAAGTATACAACAAAATTCGATGCGCCGCAAAACAAATTGCACCGCCTTCGTCATTCAGGTTTCCCTTTAGTTATAGAGACCTGCGGCTTCCGTGGGGCAATTCCTGCGAGCGGAAGCCGGGTGGTCGGGAGCGCACGATGTGCTGGACATCAAAAACTCCTCCCAAGGCGCGCGCGGACATCAAAAAACACCGGGCCTGTGTTCACCGCCCCCTTGCCTTGGCGTGCTTAAGTTCCTGCGATCGCCTTCTATGCGCACTTTGAAGGGGGGCAGGGCTCAGCGGCGGGGCTCCAGTAGTCGGGTAGGCACTTAGGAATATGACAGTGTGGGAAACAAAACCAAGTGCTCCAACGACTACCTGGTGTTTAATCTCCAACTTAAAACGCCAACAAATTAAGCATTACACAGCAACTTGAAGATATGCTACACGCTTGGCGACCCGAACCAGCGACCCACACTCTCAAATTGCTTTTTAAATAATACGATTGGTACCTTCGGCGCGGGCATTAATTTCGAACAATGGCGGGTCAAGTTACGACCCCGCTTCACATCCGCCGCCGCGGCTCCCCTCGACATAGATAGGGGGGCAAGGCAAGTTGTGCAACTTGCACACGCAGGGGCCTTCGTCATGTATCTCGCTAGGTCAGGTCTGTATATCCACGTGGGCTGACTGTGGAGTCAGGTCTCAATTCGCGGCGAGGCGAAGTAGACCCCACATTCCTACGCATGCCCTGTGATAAAGGTAGTTTGCTTCACCCGGCAGGCCGCGATGCCTGGAGTGTAGGAAGAAAGCAGATCGGACAACTGGCGGTGGCCCAGCGACATTCGCATTTCTCAGCCCGGCGGGGATCAGCGACATTCAAGTTTTTGAGGCCGAAAGTCCGTGGCCGGTCTTTCATATGGACTGGGCGCGACACTCCAGCCAATCGATCCCCCAATCTCTCGTCAGGCCATTCCGAATGAACATGTTGGACTTGGAGTCCCGGAGACGGCGACAGCACTACCGACTGTATTCCGGAGTTTGAAGCCAGAAGAGGCTGGGAAAGGAGCCTTGTTGTTGGAACGATGCTTAACACTCTGCGTCAGAGTGCCATCTGTGATGAAAAAGTCCTGCAACATAGACGCTCGAGCGAGCAAGCTGCGGCGTATCGAACTTCCTTGGCGGCTTTCGGCACCCAGTTCACAAGTGCAGTTGCGATCGAGCTTCGACATATGACGTCCCCACTTGCACACAAATTGGCTCTTGCACCACCTCTGTAAAACTTGGGTCGCCTTTGTCCGCCGCAAAAGCTCATCTTGCCCAGGCGAGCCCGTGCCTACTTTGAAAGCATCCAGCATTATGGCAGCTTGTGACACACGTTCCCGGTACGCCTGAGCAAGACGAGCCAGTGTGTCCTTCTCACAAAAATCTGGTCGGTCAGTAATAGGCTGAAGGGTCAGGCTGGATGAGCGGATTGGCGTGCTTGTCGCTTCCAATGATGGTGGCAGTGCAAAGCGGGGTGGAGGGTGCAAATGTGCCACCACATCATTCACGCCTTGCGAGTGCGCGCGGTATTTTTTCTTGAGGTGTGCTTCAAGCGACCCCCGTTCATTCAGTGTGCGTTCTAGAACTACTTGCTCCCTGACTTGTGCATCAAGGCGTTGATCAACGCGCATGCGCATCAGAGATGGGACTTGCCGAAGAGCACGTTCTTTTGATTTCGCCAGTTGAATAGTTGCATGCATTGCGCTCTCCATTCGCCTTTTCTCGTCGAGCGAGCTTTTTGGAAGCTTCACGATGTGTAGAATGAAACCGAACTCCTTCTCAAGCATATCAGCTTGTGTGATCCCAATCGGCTGCGGGCTCTCTAGTACCTCTGTCTCCGACTCAGGCTTCTCTCTCTCCAAGGATCTTGGACCGCGGGTGCCCGCAGAGAGGTCGGAATGGTTTATAGACCCAATCGTGTTTTCGAAGGCGCTCTTAGCTCCCGAGATATCAGTATGCGGCACACGCAGCTCGCAGCACTCTTTCTTTCTTGAGGACACGTAAAGTTCCTCTTGATGGAGTACGATTTCGTCTTCATGCATGACATAGGACCCGACTGTGGTGTGAGGATCTTTGCGATGAAGAATGGCCCATCGACCTCTTGCGCGAGCGCCAGCTGAACTTGCACTACCGCATGGCACAGCAACAAGACGGCCAACAGTCTCGCGAACACGACCACCTGCTGGCCGGGAAACTGAGCCATGGGCGAGCGTCTCAGCTGCACGTCGTGCTGTGCGCCGCTCTTTTGCAAAAGCAGAAGAGAATGCCCCCCAATCTGGGCCTGTGGGCTGCTCGCCGCTGACGGTACACACGCCACGACTTGCCTCGGCCATATCATGCACCAGGGTACTCCATCCAGCGCCAACATCGCGGGATAAAGCAGAAGTACCTAGTACCTCGTAGCGTGAGCATTGGAGCCATATGCGATCGCCATACTTCACTGCTCCAACATCTCCCAGGTCCATCATGTTCCACAGTGTGAAAAGGCATGGCGGCGTAGGCCACATAATGCGTGCCTCAACACATCCACCATGACCGAGACCCAGATAGCCACCGTGGTTCGCCTGTAAGGCGATCGCAGACCCGTAATACACCACAGCGCCCTTCGTGTGGTTTGGTGACGGTGTTTGTGGACAATTTGGAGGGATGGTTGCTGCCACGAGACGCTTTGATGTTCCAAGTGTAGTCTCGTCTCTGGGCTCGAAGACCTTGTGATGGGTAGTCTCCAGACTCGGCACAGCCCGCTCTCCCGAGCGAAATGCGTCTGCTACCCCAAGGGCAAGGGCAGAGGCTGATGCCTTCAGTTCTGAAAGCGCCTCTTTGCGCAGTTGACGTTCCCGTACTTCCTTGTCTAAACGTTCTTCCATAAACTTATGTCGCCCCTGCCGCATTCTCTTTGCTATCTTGCGGATTGCCGGCGAAAATAGCGCCTGCATTGTCCTATTTCGGCCCCCATCGCCCTCGTCGCAACCCTCCCGCCCGAAAATGGGCCCACCGTTGATGGCCTCTAACTCTGCGCGGCTCTCTTGGGCAGTGTCTAGCAGTGGCTGTCCCCAACGTAGCTTCTGCAAGTGCTTCTCCGACGACTTGACGAGATGTTTGATGTCAAGCTCTGTCATCGCAAAGTTTGTGGTTCACAAATTATAATTCCTGGAGCTTGGATGGCCCTAGAGGGGGGGAGGGAAGGGGGGGGGGGCTGCCCGTGCGAGCAGCATCAATTCACCTTCCGGTGATATATCTTCCTTCAAGGGGGCGTTATCCATTGGCAAAAAAATCATGCCCCTCTCATGTGTGGAGAGCCAACGTACAGCAGCGGTTCTCGAGGAAACAATCGAAAAGCTGACGTTTCTCGAAGCTATTACGCCCGATGTTCTTCAACATCGAGACGAGCTGTCAAAATTCGTCGGTGATGAAATATCACGGATTATAAGAGAACAGCGGCAACTAGAACAACGATACGAACTGCTGATTTCTCAGCGCGGTACCCTTAAAGGACTCGCCAATAAGGGTAAATATAAAGAAGTACAGAGTGAAATTCAGGGGGTTTCTCGAGCGCTCCGAGATTCCACCAAGAACTTGTGTAGAAATCTAAAGGACAACCCGAACATTTCAGGAAACTTATTGAAAATTCAGCGAGAGCGACAAGAGCTCATCAATATCTTGCAAACGACCGTGCGCGAGGTACGCTTCCTTTTTAGAAGAGTTAACTCTCTATCCTCCTAATTAGCTCGCTGATAACGGTTCGTTTACCACGTTAGTACAAAATGTGACCGAAGACAAAGCCGACCAGGATCGTTTACAAAGCATCGTTCTGCGCGAACGTGACGTCTCTGACACTGTCCGACAGTTGGACAAGGATCTCACACAGGAAAGGCTGGAGCATCAACGGCAGGTCGCCGAGCAAAAGTCCTCCATCATGCAGCTCAAGCAACAGCTTCAATCAATCAAGTCAAAGACAACAGTCGATGCAAAATACTTCAGAAAGGAGGCACACGCTCGTACATGTTCGATTGCGCGAACTCATCGACAATCCGAGCGATCTCAGGAGATCAGGGTACAGGAGCTGGAGCAACGGCGCGAAATCGAGAGATCAGTTCATCATGCCACGGTCGAGTTCTTAAAAACAAAGCAAAGGCACCTCGCCAGTGATCTAGCTCACTGGGAGCGCAAATACCACGAGGACTATAGCAAATTGGAATCGGAATTTGAAAAGCTGGCACAAGAAAGGGTTGCAAATTTAGAAAGGCTGACATTCTTGAAGAAACGTCGTGACACTGAGCTTGAAAATGAACGCAGCGTCCGTGAGCGAGCCGAGCGGCAAGATGAATTGGATCGATCTCGCCTGGCGGAATCACACAAAAAACATGGCGCAGCGCTGATAATTCAAACAACCGTGCGGGCATTCCTACAAAGGAAGGCGGAGGATGATGCACGACGTGCAGCAGACAAGAAGAAGAAAAAGGGAGGCAAAAAGAAAAAGTAGACGACGACGCGTATCTCTTGGCATTTTGGATATTTCAGCTGCGTAATCCCCGCATAATGGAATCCCGTGCGTGCCCAGACCCACCCCAGCACAAAACCACCCCATCCCCACCCTCCACAACATATAGTACCATATCCCGCCGGCGGGAAATATTAAACGCCGCTTCAACTTGGGCTTCAACCTCAAACCTTGCCCTTGGACCGCTGCGTCTATGCGCGCGCTCACGGCGCCGGAGCCATAGCTGTGGGATGGGTTGGATTAAGGTCCACGCGAAAACTCTTCGGATTTGAGCTTTTCTCAGGAAGTTGAGTCGAAAATATTTTAAGAATTTCCGCGCGTATGACGCGCGCGCGCGCGGCGGTAGAGGTGTCAGGAGGGGTGCGCCGGCGAAATCGCCCTAACCTCAATCCAACTAAAACCTTAATCCAACTTTCACGCTGCCTGTACATATGAGGCGGGGACGAGTAAGATCCAGACCTTAGCGACGCGATATGATATCGAGAAAATGGATGGCAAAGAGGCGTCCGCCAGTGGTGAACGACACCTTTGGAGAGCTCTATCTCGGCGCCATCACCACCGATTTGCCTGATTCTTGTTGCATCTGAAAGGCGGCAACGCTGTCTTGGCAGCGCAACCATCCACTGCCAAAGTTCAAGAACCAAGTAAGTCTGTATCCGCCTCATATTTCGTAGACAGGCTACGTCTGTTTGAAATCAACGTAAATTTCGCCCGGCTGCATAATGAAGGGGCGACACTCTTCCTTCTTAACTCCAAAGCGTCGAATCTTGCGTTTCATTGAAGGATGATCATTGAGTCGATGACCAACCCGAGCGCGGAAACAAATCACAAGCCATATGGGGCGCCTAGACGAGCACGTGGAAAAACAGCTATTGCGTCGTCTTGAGCTATGTTATCGACTAGGAAAGGGTGCCTACGGCATGGTATGGAAAGTCATCGAGAAGCGGACACGGCGGGTGGTTGTATTGAAGAAGTGTTTCGACGTGCTCGGTCGGCCAGAGGACGCACAGCGCATGTATCGAGAGATCATGTTCCTACAGGTTTTGAACGGCCACGACAATATCATAAAGATGCAACACGTGATTCGGTCGGAGTCTGGGCAAGACATGTACATCACATTTGATTTCATGCAAGCCGATCTACACTCAGTTATTCGAGCGAACGTTTTGCAGCCCTTACATGTGAAGTATATTGTCTATCAGGTCCTTAAAGCTCTTAAATTTGTGCACAGCGCAGGCATCGTGCACCGAGATGTCAAACCCTCGAATCTTTTGTTGAATGCAGACTGCCATATGAAAATCTGCGACTTCGGCCTTGCACGGTCGCTAGAGATCGGATCAAACATGATTGAAAATGCGAGGCTCACCGAATATGTCAGCACTCGATGGTATCGTGCAATTGAAGTGTTGCTCGGATCGACACACTACACATTTGCTGTGGACATATGGGCGGTCGGTTGCATTTATGCTGAGATGCTCCTGCGTCGCCCACTATTTCCCGGAACGTCGGCTGTCGACCAAATTGTGAAAGTCTTGGAACTGATCGGTCGGCCTGGCGTCCCTGACATTGACTCCGTGAACAGTGCCTACGCGTCGACTCTGCTTGAGATGCTCCCTATTTTAAGACCGGTTTCATTTGTTGAGACGTTTCCAGATGTGAGCGCAGAGGCCTTAAACTTTATGTCGCAGTGCCTGTGCTATAACCCACATCGAGGCAGTCGTTGTAGTGTTGAAGAAGCCCTGAGGCATCCTTTTATCGCGGAGTTTCATGATCCTGATGATGAACCTGCCTTCGGCCAGAGGATGTGTCTTGCTCTTGATGATTACCAGCTCTTTACAGCACAAGAGTATCGTCAAGCCATCTACGAGGCGATTGTTAAGCGCAAGGTTTCTGCTCGTAAGCTCGAACGAGGGCTCATGGTGAATCCGGCAAAGGTTGTGCTCATGGAGCATGAAGAAACCCTGCCAGAGCCCTTCTGACCTGAGCGAAGATTTTTGGTTCATGGCTCACGCAGAGTTTCGTTCGTTGCGTCCATGCTAGAGCACTGTTACATAAGCCATCATTCATACAAGCACCTCCGTGTGGCGAAGAGTGGCAAGTACGGCCGCTGGATCTCGCTCGGGCCCCTCACCTCGCTTGGCGGGCTGCGTAGACGGACTCCTGGCGCCGAACTCGGCCGCATCGGAGCCGCTTCGCCATACGCTAGACTTTGTAGGGGCGGCGTCCCAGAAAGAACCGGGTACGGGAATACTGCCGAATTCGGCCGCCCACTGGCAAAGTCACTGGCATGCTAGCCCGGCCCAGTGTGCGTCACCAAACCCTTTAAAAGCTCTTGAGACTTTTGCGGTTCCCCCATGTAGAGAACGAAATATATATTATCCAAGAATCCAATCCGCTGATCCCATTGGTCGGACGAGATTTCAGACGTCTGAGTTTCACGTAGTTTCGAGCATGGTCCAAGGATCTCTGACGCTGCGTTGGGCATATTATGGTTCACAGGGGAAGAAAACGAGAGTAGTTCGCAGTAGGAACTCGGGGTCAGAGATCCTGAAACTGCAGTCCGTCTCGTGGGGGAACACGCAGAAGCTGAGATCTCTGTTCCCCGCCCTCCAGCGCCGCGCGACGCGCCCACCGTGGCGTGTTCGACTTCTGCTGCCTCTCGCTCGACATGGAGTGACTTTTCGAGACCGCCGACCCCGACTTCGTACGGCGAAGTGCTCTCAGTTTCTTCCACAGTGGCCCGGAACATGCCAAACGCAGCGTCAGATATCGCTCGACCATCGTTCAACCCCCTCAATTATCATTTGTCCGAATCCCGAATAATGAACCGTTCGTTCTGTGTATGCCGTCGGGGTACTCCCGAGATACCACTCCAGTACGTGCCTGGGCCGCCATGGCGCCCGGGTCGCCCTAGGCGCGCCGGTTTGTGTGCTGCGGTGCCCTACACGTGTCCGTCGGGCCCGGGGGAGCTACTATAGTAGGCCCGGGCTACTAGTAGTAGGGGGTTGCCCTCGTCGCAAATGGCCCGTAGTACGGCGCGGCTCCTGGCAGCCTGGGCCGATACCGCGAGTTTCGAGGCCCGTCACTTGGGGCACATGCAGTCCCGCGAGCAGCAGCTGGTGCGTTTTTGGATACACCTGGTGCACCTGCGACTCCCAGGTGCAGCCTGGCCGACGTGGGCGCTCATGCAGCGACCGCACGCATGCGTCAGCACGTCCCTCTTCTTCGCCGTCGCCGTCGTCGTCGTCGCAGGTCGCATGATTGGAATTTGTTCGCTGAATAAACCTATGCATGGTCCGTGACATATCCTAGGAATCAAGGACGAAAACAAAATCTGAAAACGAATACTCTGGGGTGATACTTCCCTTCAAGTAAGCGTTTTGTTGCACATTTAAATGCGACTTCCGACCCGAACCGGCGACCCCACACCCTTGAAATCCTTCGATCGATACGATTGGCGCGCTATCCCGATGGGCCGGCTTGGCGGGAGCATAATTCAACAATTTTGCCACGATTTCCGTCCGGTGGTCGACCTGCGCACGCGCGGTCGACGGAGGACCTCTATGGCATACTACAGCCGGCGGCCAGAAAGAATAAATAAATACTTCTATGGGGCGCTCTAGCCCTATGGTTGTTTTCGTCCTTGCTAGTAGGAATCCTAACATGACGGGCAGCCCAGCGGATATAAATCTAGATATATCATCCCTTGCAAGCATGTCGCCTCGGCGTCGACTAGAAACCCCCTCCTCTAGCAGCCCCCCCCGGGAGCATCAGCGACCTCTATCTGAACCAACAAGCCCTTGGTGAATACGTTATTTGAGGGCGGAAACTTTCTGGCAGCGTGGGGATGCATCATGACGCGCGCTTTTTGAGGGACGGGCTTGGAACCATGAGATATGCGTCCGGCGAAGTTTACAAAGGTGACTGGCACGTTGGACAGCGGAGCGGGAGAGGCGAGATGATATACGGCACGGACAAGACTAATCGATACATAGGCTCTTGGATGAACTCGAAGAAACACGGACCTGGGACTTTCTACTTTGGAAACGGCGATATTTTTGTTGGTGAGTGGTCTCGCGGGAACATGCATGGTAGAGGGCAGTATATATTTGCCTGTGGAGACAGCTTCATCGGGTTCTACTCAAATGGCAAGAAAGACCATGGTGACTACTACTTCACGCAGAATGATACAGACTACAGGGGCAATTGGCGCGATGAACTTTTCGATGGGAGGGGATCGACCCGGTACTCAAATAATGAAACGTATTTGGGTAACTGGATGCAGGGCAAGCGCCACGGGCGAGATTCCTGCTACGTGTGGCCTAGTGGTTCTCGATTCAATGGTACGTTTGAGCACGGTCAATTGCGAAAGGGGCTCTATCGCTCAGCTAACAACATGGGCGAGTATGAAGGCTCTTTTGTGCATGGCCGCCGGTGTGGCATAGGTCTTGCCCGCTTTGATGATGGCTCAGTTTATAGAGGTCAATTCCAACATGACCGGATGCATGGTTCTGGAAGCTACAAGTTCCCTTGTGGGTCGCTATATATCGGGAACTATGTGAAAAATAAACGCGACAATCCGCGCCGGTTGAGGGAATATCCTATTCAAAGGTGTCGTTTTTCAGGTCACGGGTGGGGCTTGCTCAAAGATCAAACGGGCGAGGTGATCTACCAAGGCATTTTTGTTGATGGTCAACCTCGAGACGAATGCGTCGGAAACACCTCATAACATTTGTAAATTTCACCGAAATTACCGACCATCCAGGTCCAACAGCATTGCAAGTCATAACCAACATACCGCACTGAAGACGAAAGCACGTGTCACATCGATGAAGCACCTGGTGTGAAGCAAACCTGGGGAAATTCTGCTGAGGGGGGGGGGGGGGCAGTACCACCTGCCCACTGGCAAGTTCCGCAAGTCACCGCAAGCCTTGCAACTTGAAGGTGCACCGTGACCACCGTGGCACCGCAGTATATATCCTGCATACCTACCCCAACTAAGACCCAAGTTGCTGCCCAAATGCCACTCGCGGTGACGCCACCCGGGAGCTAGTATAACCCACGCATGGCTGGCCTCACCGGTATGGTGCCACCATCAGTCACAATGTAGGCACGCGCAACGACAGCCGCGAGCGGGTAGTACCTTAGGCGGGCCCGGGGAGATAGAGAGACTTGTACCTTCCTAGTGGCCCGCTGGTACAGAGCCACTCAGGCTCTCCCTAATACTTTCTAACCCTGCTATAGTTGCGTCCCGCACTGTAATAGACGGAGAGTCTTCCTGGACCTAGTGAGGCACTGGCAGATCCTCTGCCCGTTCGTCCGACGGAGTCCAGTAGCCCCGGCCCCCGTATACTCAGTAGTACGGCAGCTGAGGTACCGTGAGGACAACCGTTGTGACAGAGACGCCGGTGTACCGCCACTGCGTAGCCTCGATAGTCCACCCTCGGACGGTAGGGCAGCCTTGAGGGGAAATGGCAGTGCTCCTGACCTAGACGGTAAAACATGAGGAGAACGAATCTATGCATGATCCGACTGCAGGGATGTCACAATGGCTTACTAGTACATCTCAGGAGGCTCGTTTGACAGCATTCGCTCTGTGTGGTATCAACCAACTGCCCTCGCACTGTCGCGGGAGTCCAGCATTGTAGGCTGTAAGGGAAGTCCCAGGCGCGGCCCTGTACTAGCCAGCCGCAAATAATACGGCATTCTCGCCACCCCTCTCTCGCTAGATGGCTCTATTTCACATATATCCAAGCACTTGCATATCGCAGGATTTCTCTCCAGTATCAATCAGCGTAAAAGCAGCGCGGATGGGCAAGGTTGGTTGAAACCATCGAGGCGTCACATCAATATCACTCTTAGCTTGGTGAGCTTTTCACTTGGGGGAAATCTACTGCTGGACAAGTTGAACAAGTTTTTGAGCTCAAGAATGCCAAAGTAGATAAATTGTGCGGGAATTATCATCAAGCCTGTGTCATAACCGAGGTATGAGCGGAAGATGGTGTTCTGCCTGAAACTGTTCTATAGGGTCGCATCGTGCCTCTACTTTCTCACGATGCGGGGGCCTCGCGCAGATTTAACTTGAGCAATGTCATCGGCGCTTCATTTGGGGAGATGCACGCGCTGGCACTAGATGCTGGTGGCTCGGTGTGGGCGGTAGGCGATGGTAATCAACTATGCATTGTAGTTTTGATACCAATGTAGTAGCCGAGCTGAGACAAATATAGGTCAGAATGGTCAGCTCGGACTTGGGGCAACTAGGCGTGTCGAAGATGCACGGGACGAATGGGTTGAAGTTCAAGCGCTTCGTGAGCGACGTGTCATTTCACTAGGTTGTGGATCTCGTCACTCCGCGGCCGTCACGTCTATCGGTGATGTTTATACATGGGGACGGGGCTTTGAAGGGCAAACCGGGCAAGCCCCAATAAATCACCACCCCACCGCACCCGATAGCGCACAAATCTGAGTGACACTTCATTTGTCGATAAAGATTTACCTCGTAGGCAGATAGTGTCGGGGTCCAGCTGCTTCCAAAGCTCGTAGTTTCCCTGGCATCACAGCAAAGGGCGAGCGACCCAGCAAGACTTGTTGCATGTGGGCCAAATTTCACTATCGTGGTCACCGCATCAGGAATACCATGGGCTTGGGGCGAGGGCCGTTGCGGCGAGCTTGGTATTGGTCTTCGCGTAGCTGCGCAGCGTTCGCCTCGTCGTGTCTCTTGGCCTGATGAAGCAGCTTGCTGCACTTCTGTGGCTTGTGGCTGGGCTCACGTTTTAGCTACCGATGGGAACGGAGCCATCTTTGGGTCGCTTCCAGCGCGTGAGGATTGGTCCAGTATTTGCGCTAGAAATTTTGCTTAGGTGGGGATTTAATCGCTTTGGCCAGCTTGGTCTTGGCTCCAATAATCCTACCATGGCTTTCGCCAAAAACAAGAACAAGAATTCAACCTTTACGGGACATAATAATGCTGAGGAAGACCACACGAGGGGGAAGCAAATAAAACTTTGCTTGGAACCTCGTCGGATTGCACTGTTTCCGGGCTCTGTGGGCTCAGTTGATGCGGCAGCAAATTCATCTGCCGCACTCAGAGCAGAAGATGGAAGGCTGTTTACTTGGGGGTCTAACGAAGCAGGGCGGCTTGGACAACACTTCAACAGCCACGGTATTCCCTTGCAGCATGTGCATTCTCCGTGTGGAGTCCCAGGGCTGTCTGGAAAGATAATTTCTTCCATGACACTAACCGAAAATGGTGGCTTCGCATTTGTCCCATCTTCAGTAAGCGCAACTGAACCGCCTTTGGTGCCTATCGCTGGGGGCACCCAGATAATACTGCGCGGTGGCGGGTTTTGGGACTCTCCAGACTGCGTAGTAAAATTCATCCCACTAATGGAGGAAAATGATATGGAGACAAAAACCTTACCACGGTCAGCCGTAGGGAAGTATTTACCTCCCGAGGCCAGTGGACCCCGCGGCCTCACTAAGCCAGGTGTAGTGTGCAAGCTGCCACGATTCGCACTGCCAGGCGATGTATTTGCTGAAGTAGCCATGAATGGCAAAGATTTCACATCTGATCGGGTTCGAGTAAGCCTCTACGAAGACCCAGTGATCACCATAATTAAGCCAAATTGCTGCAGTTCTACGGTCGCGGCTGATTTGACTATTTGGGGCTCGGGGCTTTTTGAGACCGGATTAATCAAGGTTCGGCTGAAGGAACGAGGTGGATCTGGCCGTGAATGGATAGTACCAGGCATATTTGAGCAAAATGCAAGTGTATGCTCAGATGGTGATTCGACGTCGCCAGTTCAATCCGCAGTGCTATGCACTAGCCCATGTGTTGACGGGGGAGATTTCCCCATTGAGGTCCGCATTGCGGTAGCATTGAATGGATCCGATTTTGTATCTTTACATGGTTCAACATTCGTGATTCACGATGCTGTGATATCAAGATTGGTCCCCGATTGCAGGCCATTGAGTTTGTACCCACATGATGACTCCCTCGAGGGCACCAAGGCGAATCGTGTCGTAAAAATCGTGGGAAAGTCATTCTTCAATTCGAGTGAGATGCGGGTAACTTTAAGTCTAGAACACAACGGGAGTAAGGTGAACTACTCATGTCCAGCTGAGTACGTAGATTCTACCGTGCTTCAGTTTGCTCCACCATCTCTGTATGAACTTCTGGGGTACGAAGCGAGAAACGCATCATGTGAAGACGGTTCATCAGAAGAAGATGGTGCGCCAGCCTTACCTGATCAACAAGTTTGGACTTGCCTATTGGAGCTTTCCCTAAATGGCAACGAATTTCTCCAAAGTGCTCTGCCATTCATGATGTATGGTCAATTAGGACAAGATGAGATCAAAATATGCCCCCCATCGTGTGGTCCGTCCAGTGGCGGGACTGAAACTTCCCTAAAATTGCCATCACGCTTTCGCTGTGATGACGACGATGCGGCGTTGTGGCCAAGTCTGATGTCCGCTCTCGTGCAGTTTCGCCCTATCGACAATAAGCTCATGGAGTCGGTTGCTGTAAGTGCGCGTAAAGAACTATCGAGTTGCCCAGAGCTAGATTCAAGTAGTTCAAGGAAAGAGTGGGACACTATGATTATGTTCACGACCCCGAAAATAAAGCTGGAGGCGATTTTACTAGAAAACACATGTCATGATACCAAAGATGGAATTTTGGATGGGGGTGGCTCAGGTAGTGCGGATGGTTGTTTTCTAAATGAAGAAATGGATGGCTTGGGTGGCAGTGCCTCCGAATATTCGGTGCATGCCCCGGAAGAGCCACCCCGAAGTCTCGGATTGAGACAGGACATGGTTGTAGAAGTTGCCCTTGACGGTGAGAATTTTTGCGCAGCTTGTGACATGAGTTTTACATACTATGGAGCCCCAACTGTGACTCAAATCAAAACTAACCCAGAGTCATCCGAGGAAGTACCTGCAGCTGCCCCAGGCTCAGAGATCTTCATTTTTGGCACTGGGTTCTTTGAAGATGGCATCGTCAGAGTGCATCTCGAGTGTGCAAATGACAAAAAGGCCGCAGCTGCGCAGGTCACCGATGCATCAATTGATCAAGGCGTGATTAAATTCACAATGCCAGAGCTGGATAACGAAGCTGACGGTGGTGAGAAGTCAAGATTGGAGGTCGGCATTTCATTCAATGGTGGCAAGAACTTTACATCTACTGGCGCATATATTGACTTCATTTACCAATGAGCGCGCCAGTCGATCAATAAGTGTGTACCCGAGCTTTGTCTATGTGCATGCTGCGTGCGCTCGAATCGACTTGGGAGACGCATCTCGGCCTCACGGCCGTGTTGTTGCGGCCAATTGAGCCCACTAGTCCACTGGGCTGCCTGAACGCCCGAATACAAGACTTAAGCAGAGGGACTGCGGATATGAAGCTCGCAGGGGCAGCTGCGAGAGTTACGTGGACTGACCTACTGGCGTTAGCGCCAGGGAGGGGGGATCTCAGTACTTTGGGATAGGAAAGGAAAGAGAAAGGGGGGAGAGCCTCCTCAGTGGGAAAGGTCAGTCAGGGTGGCAGTGGGCTCAGTAGGCTGAGCCTATGGT